AGGGGAAAGAGAAATCCTTTACCTCGTGCCCAGCCCCCCCTTGTTCATATTTAATGGAATTCTTGCTTGTGTTAAAATGGTGATCAATTATTCACCCCCGGACTCAGTAATTCCAAACATCCCAAGTAACAAATAGCACTGCTCTGTGCTGTTAAAAATTCCAAAATACTTTTGTTTTCCTTTTTCCAGCTGTTCTCCAGGTAAATGCAAGATGGCCAGTGGATTGTAGGGGTTTTCCTGGAAATATGAATTAAAGAGTAAAGCAGGCCAGATGTGTCAGAAGGTAGCACAGGGCAGACCCATAAGCTCAGGACCCAAGTCTCTCCCATCACTGCTGGGAAGAGCACTGGGAACAAAGTCCTCTCCTTCCAACCCACCAGCTCAGGCTTCTCCTTCAGCCCGTTTTAACACTTGAAAAAAGTAATTTTTGTCTGGCTAAATTCAGCTTCAGCTCCACATCTGAACAACGTGACTGACAATCCTTCCTCTCCCTTTTGTGTCTGTGGTGAACATTCCAACATGGATTATTCCGCAGTGCCCAAATGCTAATGGTCAAGAACCGCTAAAAATCCCAAATATAGACACAGAGGGGCATGGAAAAGCTGTAATAACCCCCAAATATAAATATATAAAGTTATGGAAAGTTGCAATAAATCTCTTTCAGTCTCCCTTCTCCCACAGGTCACTAAATCTGTGTCTATAACACAAGGAGGGAGTGGGGAACAGGCCACAAGCTGTACAAAAGCCTTTTCTCTCCAAGTTCAATCAAAAGGACAACAGCAGATGACAGACCCCTTGGATCCTGTGGTATTTTAGGCTGTCACAGCAGGGACCTCCTGCAGAGCCAGGGACAGAGGGGGCTCTGCCAGCCAAGCTAAAGCCAAAAAAATACCTAATGAGTGAAGAGCTGGGAAGTTGGTTCTGTCTGGAGGAGCATGTGCAGGCTGGTTGTGGGCATGGAAAATTCATTCCAGAAGTGCCACCACATAAAACTTCAGATGACTGGTTGGGCTAAAAAATTTACTATTTAGGTCACTGTTTTTACTTCCATTTAAAGTATTTGGAGGAGAAATTATATCATTCCCCCTTACCCTCATTTTCTCCCTGGAACACAAGAAATTCTGCTCTACAGCCCAAACTCTGGCACTGAGCTGTGTCCTGCAAGCTGCTGCTCTGGCTCTTCCCTTCCTGCTTTCTCTCCCTGCTAACTTCCACCTCTCTCACCCATTCCACAGTTTTCCACCTATTTGAGCTGCTCCCTCTCCAGCTTCCCATCACTGAATCCATTTGGTTGCTCTGAAATATAAAGGGCATCCCTGCAAATTAATTAACTGGGGGGAAAAAAGGGCCAGCTGGAATCTATCAGGTGAAAAGGATGGCCACACCCCACAGGAAGAATGAAGGTAGAGCAGACCTTTCACCTGTGGTCATGGAATGTCAGGATAGTTTGGGTTGGAGGGGACCATAAAGATCATTTCATTCCACCCTCTGCCATGGGCAGGGCCACCTTCCAGTAGAAGGTGATGGCACCTGTGTCCAGAAAAAGCACTCTGAAATGCATCTGTAACTTCACCTGTGTAAAGGGAAACTTGCATTGGAAAATTCAATATTTAATCAAAGTCTTCTGTAATTAGACTTGGTTCCACAATCTTTATTCCAAAGAGAAGTATTGTGATGGATTCCAAAGAGAAGTTTTGTGATGGATTAACTCTGATAACACTGGCAAAGTTCAAAATTCAATAAAAAGTGACTTGGTCTCATAACCCACGGCTGACTCACTAAATGCTGCAAAGGAAGAGCTCAGGAAATGATTTCACAAACTCCTGTGTGGCTGAAAATCACCACAGTGAGGATGGTGAGACCTGTCCCTTCATCAACAGGGACTGGGATGTTCCTTCCCAATGAAAATTCAATACAGGATCATTTATAATACTTAGAGCAACAGGATGGTTCAAGTCCTTCCCTATTCATGGGTGTCTTCACAGAAAAGCACCACCCAATAGTGACAAAAATGTTCCTTCATGACAGGAAAAAAGCCCAGAAGCTCTGAATGAAGCATTAAAAATGCCCTTGTTGAGGTGTAGAGGTGTCTTCATTTTTAATTTTTGGATAAAACTTCCCACAGAGATTTGGGAAAACTTTCAGGAGTTTCTTATATTTGCATGACATCACTGCAAATCCGTGATGTCCAGGGCATATAAACCTCTCACAGACAGTCTGAGCTTCTTCCAGAGTCGTTCACCACCACCCTGTGCCTGCACAGCACTTTTGGTATAAAAGTGGAGTGAAAGGGTCCTCCAGGTGCACACCCAGGTCAGATCCTAATTAACATCCATGTCCTCACACCAGGCAAGTTGGAAATAACACAGAGCTCAAAGCAGTAACACTCTGCAAAAGCAAAGCCTGGAAACAAACCCTGTTGTTTCATTAAACTTAAAATACAATTTGACTGTGTCATAGTGAGGGAGATGAGCTATCTGCATTAAATTGTGTTTAATTTCACTCTAGAACTATAGGGCCCAATTAAAAATAATGAGGCCTGTCTCCAACTGTCAGGCTCAATTAGAGCTAATGGGAACTGAGAGCTCCTGGAATAGATTCATTTTTGTCTGATGGACGAACTGGGGCAGGGGTCTTGCCAGGGGTCAGTGGAATAGACCCGGCAACAAAACATGGGTCATTCAAGCTTAAGGAGTCTTAAGGAACCTAGTTATTAAATAAGGAAGTAGGAAGGAAATCAAATCCAAAAGCACATGAATAACCCCAACAGATTCTTTTTTTTTTTTTTTCTGGTACATACCCCTATATTTTAATCCATCCATTAAACTGCCCACTATAAACAAAATCTATAATCCATAGAGGTTAAACCTATTTGACAAGGCCACAGAAAAACTAGAAAAAGAAGCGCCCAACTTCATATTCCAGTGCCAGTTTTCAGGAGTTTAGCAGGACCAATATTTTCCTTTGGAAATGCTCCAAAAATTGTAGCTAAGAGGCTGAACTTTTATTTTCCGTATAAAAAATAAACTCAGGAAAGATAATTATAATTTGAATGTAGCAAGAAACCAAACTGTCATGAGAGACATTATGAACAATGAATTGATCTCTTCCAGTTCAGCCTCAGCAATAAAACCAGGAAAAATTGATCATCTCTTGCTTTCAAAACTGTGATGGGACAGTCAGACAAATCCAGAAATGAAGCCATTTGTCCTTGAGGAAACATGAATGGGCGACAACTTGGAGGCACTAGACAGTATCTGTCACTTCCCATGAGTAATTAATCCTGAGGAGAGGGAGGTGTGGAGCCTGTTGCCTGTTTACTCTGCTGGAATGACAGCCCGTGTGTGTTCGCACACTGGGCCCTGGTGGGATGGGGATGTCTCCCAGGAAAGCCTTTCCCTGAGCAGCTGTTGTCACCAGCAATGACTCCGAGGCTCGTGTTGGGCAATGCTGACACGCCAGGCCCTGGCTGGCCCTTTGTCTCTCTCTGGAGACACCTTTTTAATCTAATGATATCTTTCTCAATGTCTAACGCTGCTCGTGCAACGCGCCGCCCTCGGCTCCTCATCCCCTGCTCCCCTCCCCCCCGGCACATCCCGGCCTGCAAAGCCAGGCTTTGCATTTTAAATCTGTGCTCTGGGACTTCTGAGCACAGAAAGAGCAGTTCAGCCTCTCCCCGGCAAGTTTTGTTAGGAAATAATGGGTGAATTTATAAATGAGACACGTTATTTTTATTCATCCTCCCCTTCCTGCACACCAAGAACCTCACGAGGGGACTCTGTGGCCACTTTAGAACAACAAACAGAATCACAGAATCACAGAATATTCTCAGTTGGAAGGGACCCACATGTGTCATGGAGTCCAACTCTTAATGAATGGCCCATAAAACACGTCATTGCTACAGTACAACCTAGGATTGCTGGCAATACAAAGGATCAATGTTACTCCCTTCCCCCAGTGTCTTCTCATGGTTGAAAGCTCTGAAAGACTCACCTCACCTCAGGTCTGGGTGAAAATCTTCTTGAGTTGGCCCAATGGATGTGCCAGGTGGGAATCACTGTAGGGAGGAATATTTTTGAGGCCTGAGCCACAACTCTGCATTGGTGTAAAACAGGGCACAGATTTCAATTAAAATCTTTAGATACGGTCCAGTTTTAAGAAATTCATATAAAGATGTCTCTATTTCCTCCAGTCTGAAGGATATCCAGTTCAGCTCATGCAGCACTTGGGAAAACAGAAGCACTGAGGTTTTGGAGAATTCTTTATTTGCAGCAGGTGTTACCTGCACCCAGTACAGAAACTGCTCTTAGGATGCACAGCTGAGTGTCCCTGGTGGGAAATCAGGTGTAAAGTACAATGTCCCATTCCTGGAAGTGCCCAAGGCCAGGATGGACAGGGCTTGGAGCAACCTGGTCTAGTGGAATGTGTCCCTGCCCATGGCAGGGAGCAGGACTGGATGAGCTGTAAGATCCCTCCCAACCCAAGCCATTCCATAATTCTACAAGTACAAGTGTGTTTAGGAAAACCCTCCTGATTATTTCACATCTTAAAATTTTAAGTTTGGAGCATTACATAGGATCACCTGAAGGGTTTGAACTTCACTAGAGACAGCTACAATTGTGAAGCAACAAACCTGACGCTTGTGAAAGTGTCATGGGTGTGACAAAAGCCAGGAAAACCTGATTTAATGTAGAAGCTCCATGTTCATATGACACTGAATTATTCCTGTTTCATCTGAGGGCACAGTGCCATAATCCAGATTTTTCTGATATTTTAAATTAAAGGCTGAGCACACAGAAGGGCATTCAGAGTCAAGCACAGAGAAGTGCTGAAAAAACAACTGGTCACCAGTAAAGATAAGAACAAATACCTCAAACTTTGATCTGCCAGGTTGGCCAGGAAGAACATTCTGATGCTGAGTAGAAGAAAATAAAATCACTTCTCCATGCAGCTTGTGAAATAGCAATAAAATCCTGTATTTATAGAGCATTGAAGGAAAAACAAAGCCAAGTGCCACCTGCTAGATTTTAATTTCTGTTTATCAGATCCCACATGGAAGATAATGTTATTTGTGGCTAGTTCTGCCTCCCTCATGAAACCAGAGATTTTTTTGGCCCTCAGTGGCCAGTAGGAGATTTCTGGTTTCTTTTAGATGTCACAATAGAATCAGCTCTGTGCAGCTCGACGGTGTCATCTCTCCAGAAGGGCTCAGAATGGGTTTGTTGACTTCCTTCAGCAGGTGCATCCCTGAATCAACTCCTGCTGCTCCACAGAATGCCCTTAATTTGGTATAAAGAGTGAGATGTTGCTATCACTTAAATCTGAAGACTGTCAGCACTGCAATAATCAGACGTTTATCTTACGCTGCCGTTTGGAGGGAATTCCAAATACAAAGAAACTCAGCAGGCAGTCCATGGACTCGCCCCGGCCCCTTCCTGAAAAAAAAGAAAGAACCTTATGGGAGGAAGAGAAAGAGACACATAATTCATCTGGGAGATACCAGAGGTTTTTCCTGTTGAGTGGCTCCGGTTTTGCCCGGGAGCAGCTCCGGGGTCCCGTCACCCGTCGGTCACTTTTTACTGTAGAAGGAACCCCCAGACAATCAGTTCCTTCCCTTGTGACAGTAACCCAGGGAACAAATCTATGATGACACTGGTACATGCATTCGTGAACTTCGTGGCCTTGTAGGTCACTGGACAAATCTCTCTAAACTGAACTGTTGACAGTTCTTTGCAGGGTTCCCCACAGGAAACCCAAGGTTAATTGACCATTCTTTCAAACCATGAAATGCTTTTGAAAATGTTAGTTTTAAGTCTCGGAGCCTAAAAGCTGATGAAACAGCGTGTCCGTACTGGGGTGTCTTCTAATTACTGAAATGAAGAGTTATGGGCACGGGAGGTGCAGAAATGGTTTAATTAGACTTGTGTGTTGTGGAAGCATGAAACAATATTCACCACATTGTGATATTGTTCAGAGCAGAGATGCTGAGGGAGCAGGAACCTGCCAGAGAAGCTGTTCATAAAAGAACTGACGACTTCTTGATTATGTTAATTTGATGATGGCCTTATTAAGAGAAGGATCTTAGAGCCTTAGAAAAATAAGCACATTCTTCTCTTTGCTCATGTGGTCGGTCCCACTGACTCCAAAGGAATGAGCAGTGCTGGCTCCTGCAGGATCCTTCCACCTGGGAAGTTGTAGTTATGCAAGTCCTTAGAACCAGGAATCACCTAACATGTGAATGACTGGCAGGAAAGTGAATTTGCTTTATGAGGGATGATACATGTGTATAACTTGTCATATATTCAACCAAGATTCGCAGAAGCCAGGAAGAAAATGGAAATCAATCCTATTGTCGTGGATTCTGAAAGGTCTTTATCACACTGAATTTGGACTTTACACTTTCAAGTATTACCCTGACACCCTATGAGTGTTATTGTTTATATGAGATAAAATATGTCTGTGTATACACTGAAAAAATGGCAGAAATAGAAGCAAAGAAAAAAATTGTGTGGCTTTTTAAAGGCTTTTCTCCAGCAACCTTGAGGAATGTTTTATTTTAGTGTCTCTAGTCCTGGTTAATAAGCCCGATGTGATCAAGGAGATTTGAGTTCTGCAAATAATAATTAGAATACTAAGAATAAGAATTTCCCAAAATACTTCTGTAATTAGTCAACATTCATTGCTTCTGCAACAAAAAAGTTGTATATTCACCCAAAGCTGAAAACAATTAGCTCTAAAATCTCCTTTTTTTTCTTCTTTCCTCACTTTTTATCTGTGAACAGGAGAATTTTCATGTGAGCACAAGTGTTGATAAAAGCATTCACTGCCATTATCTGCATGATGCAATCCATGGGAATCTGCTGGCAAAATGAGGAATATTAATTGAGGAAAAACTCATTACTATGGTGAAGAAATAGGTGAGATCTACACCTATACAGAGGATTCTCTCTGTAGAGTTCTTCAGCTCTAAATAAACCATGGACTACAAAAGAGCAATAAAGAGATAAAAAGTGAAAATTTTCTATGCTCTGTGGCTCAAGTTGCCTCTTTCAATGACAAGCTAGATTATAAAATATATCCATCAGCCAATAGCATATTGATTTCCCTCCATATTTGAAAAAAAAATTATCATTTCCAAAGAATTTATTTATTTCACCCCCAAAATGCAAAATAAAAGCATTAATACTGTGCTAATATAGTACAAGGATTTGTTCTCATTTCATTGTCGAAATTTAGGACATTGAAAATAATAATGAAATTAATAATTGGGCCATTAAAAATTCAGGGGGACAATAAGTTTTTATTCCAACCTTTTACCCCTTCCTGTCTTAAGGGAATATTTTCTCCTGCACATGCTGCTCCTAATTGTCACACACAGCACAATACCTACAGACAACAGGATGGTTCAAGGAAGGAATTTTGGCTTCAATCCCAATTTTTTTCTGATTTCTACAATCTTGTACTAACCTCTATATTTCTAAAAGTAACTATTTTGCTGGAGGCTATGTAAAAATACACTAGAACTACATTTCTCAGAGATCACTTTCTCATTAATTACATTTTGAGGGTTGAAATCTCCTGACAGCCTGTGACAAAAACAATTCTGTTGAAGTGGTGGAAAACACACCAGCCAACCAGAATTCTCCTGTCACAACACTTCCTTCATATTATTGCATATAATAACTGCAGTGCACAATTATATCATCCATAAACTGTACATTGCCCCAAAATAGACAAATATCAAGGCAAAATATTCTCGTAGTTCACCCACAAAGATAAAACTGTGCTAATCTTAGGTTTAAGTGGCTAAATTATAAATATATTGTCAGGTTCTGTGTGCTTTGGTGGGTTGGTCTGGGGGCTCTGCCAGCTCTTAAAGCACACACAGTTCTGGCTCTGCAAGATTTCTGTTACAGGGGCAATTAGGAGCCACAGGTCAAGTTTTCCAGGCATTTGGCAAATCACAGAAGGGTTTGGGTGGGAAGGGACCTAAAGCTTATCCAGTGCCAGCCCCTGCCATGGGCAGGGACACCTTCCACTATCCCAGGTTGCTCCAAGCCCATTCCAATCTGGCTTTGGACATTCCAGAGACTGGGCACTGTACTCACACACCTGAATTCCCACAAGGAACACGCAGCACGATGGATTTTGTTCCTAAGTGTGAACAATTTCACCTTAAAATCAGTGAGGAGGTCAGATAGCAGTTTTAACTTCAACAACATTATCTTCGTGAGGATGAAGATTCATTTCTTCCAGGCCAGACTTTCAGCAGTTCCCAGCAAGCAGGACAACTGTGTCCCTGTGGAATACAGAACAGCAGGCACTGTTTTAGGAACAGGGCAGTGAGAGAAGCTGCCAGACTGCAAAAGGAATCACCATTTGTGGGTGTTTGCTGCCTAAAGAAGCAATAAAACAAAACAACAACAAGAAAAAATAAGAAAAGTCGTAACTGCCTTAGGAAGTGAAAAAAAAAAAGGGATTTTAAAGGGAGTAAAAACAGGTTCCCCCTTTGTTTGTGCCACGTTTTCAACAGTTTAAAATGAAGTTTCCCTGCCCAAAGCAGGCACTGGGACCTCCGGTGTGTTTTCCTCACCTTCTCCGTGGGGAAGGGCTTTTTGTCCGTTACATCCATGCATGTAATCAGTGCCTGTGCCTTTTGTCCCTCTCAGAGCCACCATCTGTGTGCTCCCGAGTGGCCAGACAGGGCTGAGCCCCCGGCCCGGTGGGATTAATCTGCAATTTCACACCAAATGATTTTTAAGTATAATTTGTTACGATACAGTATCCTGGAATAAAACAAACGGTCGGGGCTTTTCCAAGGGGATAAAAGGGGGAAGCTTGTAAAGTTTCCTGGGTTTCAAATGGCTTGGCCAGAATCCACTTGCACATTGGTTTCATTCCGATATGAATGCCCTGGGAAAAGAGCCCATGGGGAACTGAAATAGCTGCTTTTTATTTCTGAGGCAGAGAAAACAACCCCAGATTTGGGCACTGGAAGGGGGGTGAAGCACAACATGATTCCCATCTTCATCAGGGACTGAGAATCTGCGGGATGAAGTTGCAGTTTTAAGTGTAAATAGAATATTTTGTAAGGAGGGGACTGAAGGGCTGAATTGTAAAGGCACTGGGTAAATAAAGGAGGAGCTAAAGAATCCTCTCTTTCACATCAAACAAAGCTGGCTTGAAGTGTGCAAGGAAATTCTTCCTTTTTACAGAGCACTAAATGCTTTAAAATCACCACATTTCACCAAACAGAGGGTACTGATCTGAGTTCACATCATTATTTTCTCCACATATTTTAGGTCCTCAGGCAAAGAAGGATGAAAAGTATAATCAGATAAAAAGCCAAGTGAGGAGTAGGAAGATCGAAGTGAGGACACGCCAATGTCCCTTCACAGAAAAAGATGATGAGTGTACATGAAGCTGCTTTTCAGCCATTCTGGGTTCACCACAGACACCAGTCCCAGTCCAAACTGGTCAGAGGTGGGGGAAATATTTTGATTTTTCAGCCTGGCTACATAGAGGTTACCAAAGTCTTCACAGAGTTCTCATAAATCTCTGCTTTTGAGGGTTCCTCAACTCTCCCTTGCTTGTTTTTTTTTCACTTGTCTCCTAAAGCAAACTGGAGAGCTTGGAAAATAAACCAAACTTGTTTTATGATGACCTCAGCTGGCAGCAAAATGAATTCAATTGCTACAGTTTAAATGAAAGTCTATAGAAATTCACAATATTTTTGTAGAAATTCACACACAAGAAAATGATTGTTTTTACAAAGCAAATCCCTATTTTACCTGTGTGGTTTTATTGTGTTACTTATTTGCTACAAAGCAGTTACTCCAAAGAAAGGAAGAAACTAATTGCTGAACATTATGTTATTTTATGGCTACATGTGATTTTACACATCACCAAATAAATTTAACAGAAATTGGATGAATAGAAGTACCTAAAACACATTTCTCTGCTAATATTCACTGTAAAAATTACTTCAGTTGTGGCAGGTGAACTTGCCCTATTCCTCAGCTTAAATAAGACTATAAATAAAAACAGCATTTGTCCATATCTTGGGTTCTCTCATTTTAAAATTCACATAAAGGAACCCAGTTACTGTATATCAGAAGATGAAACACACTGATATTCCTTTTCTGCACAGCATAATGTCTCCAGAGTAACAGTAACTGCTGAGAAAACACTTAAAACAAGGAAAAATCAGCTACAGCCAATCTCTGGAAATCCAGTCATCAGTTTGCAGTTTACCTGAATTCAAACTCTGAGCTGATGTGACACAGAGCAGTTGGCTCTGAGCACCCTGGGCTGGTGGAAGGTGTCCCTGCCCGTGGCAGGTGGGATGAAAGGAGCTTTAAGGTCCTTCCCACCCAAACCATTCTATGAATTTCTCAGAGCAATGTCCTGTCCCGTTCCGAGTGCCTCCAAGGGCAGGGACTCACCACCCTGCTGTGCCCCATTGCAGTGTTGGACCTCATTGTGAAAACCTTCTTTGCAACAATTAACTGGAATTTTCCTTGTTGCAACTTGCCATGTGCTCTTCCAAGTGTTTGGAGAACTAAGCCCTTAATCCCTCCCCATTCCAGTTTAAGCTCCCTCAGCAAGCAAACCAGGCAGGAGCCACCCTTTCTCCTCACCTGGTCTGATGTGGCCCTTCCAAGCAGGAGGTATGCAAATCACCTGGAGAAATGAATCCTGCATGGAATGTTCTGCTACAGGAAACCAGTCAGGCGAAAAGCTCCACACAATGGCCTGAACAGGCTCCAAGGAAGGCTGAAAGAAATGGTGTGCTTTGTCCTCACCCTTCCTGCAAATATCCAGCTCCAGGAATGCATTTTTTAAAATGGGTTTTAAGATATAAGGTAAGGATATAATGACTGTAAGATGACATTTTAATAACTCTGCAATTAAGGGAACACTTGCAACTGTGCAAACTCTGTGCCTTAGGCTCTGGCAGTACTGAGACTTTTCCTCTTATTTTGGTTCTCCAGATGTGCCTGGTACAGGCCTTGATGTATAGAAATATTGATTAATCTGCACTTCTATCAACAGCAATTAACAGAGAGAGATTTGATGCTCATCAAAGTGAACAGATTCTCATCAAGAGCAGAAGAAGAAAGATCTCTGTCTTCATGTTTCCTCCCCTCCATACTCTGTGGTAAACTGTGAAGCACAAGGAAATATATTTATCATGAATCTTCTGGGGTTTCCTCGTGCAAGGATATTGGAAGTATTTCCACATTTAAGCTTTGCTATGCAGAGCCCAAATGACCTGGTGTCATCACTGACCTCAAACTGCTTCTACATAAAAGCCATTTTCATAACAGGGGAGGCTGGTCCCTGTTTTGATGCCCAACAACCCTTTCTGTGAAGAAATTCCTCCTGATGTCCAACCCAAACCTCTCCTGGTCAGGGAGTTGCAGAGAGCCAGAAGGTCCCCCCTGAGCCTCCTTTTCCACAGGCTGAGCCCCCCCAGCTGCTCCTGGGGCACCAGACCCATCCCCAGCTCCGTTCCCTTCCCTGGACAGGCTGACAGACATCCCCAATGTCTGTCCTGTCATGAGGGGCCCAGGACTGCCCCCAGGATTTGAGGTGCTTCACCAGTGCTGAATACAGGGGGACTATTTGTTTATTTTATGTATAAATGTAGTTAAATAAAGGTGCTCACATTTACCAGACCCTCAGTCTCCAACCTGGGTCCCTCCCTCCCACTCGCATTCCCTGGGTTCGCTGGGCTCTGTGGGTGCCTTCCAGGGGCAGGACCATGTCCCCTTCACCTCTGCCCACCCTTGGTGGGGCAACTGCCCCTCGCGCCATGGCTGCAGGTCCATGGGGAGCCACCTTCATAGAATGATGGAATCACAGAGCAGTTTGGGTTGGAAGGGACTTAAAGTGGAACCTCCATTTCCACCCTCCTGACACGGGCAGAGACACCTTCCACTATCCCAGGTTGCTCCAAGCTCTGTCCAACCGGCCTTGGACATTTCCAGGGATGGGGCAGCTACAGCTTCTCTGGAAAACCTGTGCAGGTGCCTCACCACCCTCACAGTGTCAGCGCGGCGGCAGCAGAACGAGCGGTGCAGCCTCCCGGGCTGTCCCGGCTCCCTTCCCGCGGCGGCGGCTCCCGGGCTCTTCCCGCGGCCATCCCGGAGCGGGACCGGCGGCGGGAAGGGAGAGGCGCGCGGGCGCTGCCTCCGCTCCCCTCTCCGCGGCGCCGGCGGGCTGCGGCCAGCCGGCACCGGGGAGAATAGGGCCCAGGGTACCGGAGCAGGCCGGGCACCGGGCACCGAGCACCGGCTCGGGGAAACTCGGCCTACAGGGGAGGCGGGCGGCGGGCTCCGAGCAGCCGGCTCTGCACATCGGGAATCGGGCAAGAGCACCGGGCACCGCGAAACGGGCAGCCGGGCCAACGGCCGCCCGAGTTCCGGCTGCATCGGGCAAGCGCCCACCGCGCAACCGGCCCCACCGTCGCACGCGGCTCTCTTCCGAGCCGCCGCCCTCCCTCCCGCACGGTGCCCGCGTTTGAGCCGGTGGGTCCCTGCTCCCCTCGTCCTCGCAAAGTTGCCCGGAGTTGGGTTCAGTCTGGGTTTTTCGGGGCCGTTATTTGCGCCTGCTCCCCCTCGAACGCCCGCCATCTCCATCCCGGCGCCTCCCGGTCCGTGCGGGGGCGGTGCGGAGCGGGCGGGCGCGGGGCGGCCTGCCCGCGCTGCCACGGCGCTGACCCCGGGCCGGGCCGCGCATAGCTTCGGGCTGGACAGCTCCGGAGAGGGAAATTTAAACCGGGGCCGGAGCGCGGCCCCGCGGCCGAGATCAGACCCGCCAGGGCCCAGATCGGACCCCGCCGGGCCCTCCCGCCCCCAGGTTTCGTGCAGCAGCGGCAGTCGCCGGCCCGGGGACCGGGGGTCGGCGCGGCGCGGCGGGGAGGGGGAACCTCGGGCTCCTTCCCTCCCGGGCAGCGGGGCTGGGATCACCGCGGGCTTTTCCAATCGCCGGGCAGACGGGAATGGGGTTCTCCCGGGATCTCTCCATCCCGCGGGCAGCGGGGTTGAAGAGCCCCGGGATCCCCCTCCATCCCTGGGGCAGCGGGGCTGAGTCCCCTGGGCTCCCCCTCCACCCCCAGGGCAGCAGGGCTGGGATCACCCGGGCTCTTTCCATCCCCCGGGCAGCGGGATGGGGTTCTCCGGGATCGCTCCACCCTCGGGTCAGCTGAGGCTGGGAAACCCGTTCCCCCTCCATGTCCGGGGCTGTGGTGACGGGGACCCCCGGCTCACTCCATCCCTGGGACAGTGGGGTTGGAGATCCCCTGGGATCCCCCTCCATTCCTGGAGCAGCGGGGCTGGGGGCCCGCTGTTTCCCTCGTTCCTGGGGCAACGGGGCTGGGGTTCACCCGGGCTCCCGCCTCATTCCCGGAGCAGAGGGGCTGGGAAACCCTGGCTCACTCCATCCCTGGGGCAGCGGGACTAGAGAATACCGGACTCTCTCCATCCCCAGGCAGCGGGGCTGGGATTTTCCCGGGGTCGCTCCATCGCCCGGGCAGCGGGGCCGGGGTTCCTCAGTTCACCCCATCGCCGGGGCGCGCCGGAACCGCTGCAGCTCCCACAGCTCGGGCTTCCAAAACGCGGCGGCGGCGGCGGCTGCTGCCTGGGGGATAAGAGCGGTCCCGAGGCGGGAGCGCTCCCTGCTCCCGGTGCTCCCGGGACCCACAGCCCCAGCCCGTGACTGTCCCTCCCTCGGCGGTCCCGCTCTGAGCCGGGATTATCCCCCGTGAGATGTTCTCCTGCCTTTCCCAGTACCACCAGTGCACGTGGCGGTGCCGGTCCCCGGCCGGGCCGTGCCCCGGTGCCTCCCGCCGCTGCTGAAGTGCTGGATAGCTACTGCTGCTGACCCTGCCTGCTGCTGCCCAAGGAGATGATAGAGAGTGATATCCCGGCCATAATGTCAGGAATCATTAGGAACTCAGGGCAAAACCACCACCCTTCCCAGGAGTACAGGTGAGGCACTTCTCCGTTTCCAAAGTGACCCCTGCACTGTCACATCCTGCTAACCCGTGTTGTTTCCTCCTTATTTCCCCCCAAAAATCCCTTTAGCATGTAGAAATCCACTTTTCTTCTTCTTTTTAAAAATTATCTGCATTATTTCTCCACTCGAAATAAGATTTCTAAGCTGATGACTGGCTACAATGCATTCCTTATGTAAAAACATTCCTGTTTGAAAGATTCACAATGTGGTGCAATGGGCAGGGTGGGATTCGGATGGAGGTTGGACTTGACAATCTTGGAGGTCTTTTCCAACCTTCTGTAATTCTGTGATTCTCTGATTTTGATACTAACTTATATTTGATAAACACACCTCCAAAGGAGGTGCTGAAGGAGGGCTGCCCTAAAAGGAGGGCTGACCTCCCTTTTAAACTCTTTCTCCTGCACAAGCGTTGCCAGAGAAGGATATTCTTGTTAAATAATTATTGAAAAGTTCCCTTTCAGATCACTTTTTGCATTGTTATGGAGCAGCCATGGAGAGCCTCAATAAGTGCAATAGGCACTAGAAGAGATTTTAATTAAAACAAGTACTTGTGTAGCCCTCCAAAGCACTGATATGTCAAAGGTCTTTTAATAGTGGTGGGAACAAACCTGGATTTGCCAAGAGCCTTTGATAATTTAATTTACCTTTGCCACTAGGCTTCCATTTATCATTTAAAAAGTATTGTTAGGAGTCACAGGAGAGTTCTGCATGAGTTACAGAGCCCTGGGTTATGTTAGGTTACATCTTGTCACATGATGCAAAGCTCCAAGAAATACAGAAATACAGGACATGATCCAGGGGGGAAAAAAATTAAAAGAAATTATTTTATTGCTTTAAAATAAGGAATGAGAGACTCCCTCCTCCCAGCCTTGGGGGTTTGTACCCCTTTCTCGGGTGCAGGTATTTTTCTCTCAGACTCCCTCTATTCAAAATGCAAACACTGCAGAGCAGCCTCTTGCAGCTCAACAAGTGATTTGTTATAGTCCCTGGAGCCTCTGTGGAAAAAGGTTTGTGGAGCTGTTTTGCTGTTTACGGAGGCACTGTTTGCTCTGGGCATTTTTCTTGGCTACGTAAATATTTGTAAAGAAATTGTTCAGGATTTAATGAAGGGTGTGGATGAGAGGGGCTGCTGGGGACTTGGATTTAAGTCTGCATCTTCAGTGCCCCGCAGAACTCACCACCTTAACAAAGACCCTTTTTATGGGGAGAACTATTTCACTCATAGCCGCAGAAAAATCTGTCTTTTGGGGGGAGAAAGATAGAATTTTTCTTACCACAGTAAAGGAATTGTAATTTTCTTTTACTCACAAATCAGCTGCTTTTAAAAACTGCTTTGGATTCTCTGTGAAACATTTGGAACTCACAGATCCCAGTTGTCTAAAGTTTTTAACCCACTTGTGGTTTCTTTAACACGGCTTTAAAATAAATTATTTGACCTCGTTTAATAGTGGCCAATTCTGATAAAAATGCATAAAATCTGCACTGCACCATAAATGCAGAGCAGTATTTGTCCTACTTCATGAGAAAACACTTTGGATTATGTAAAAGCAAATCTTTTAGACTGAATGATTTTAAGCAAAGAATAGACCTGTCAAATTCTATCAGCTCTGTTTACTCTCCTGCTGTCACCACAGTCCGGGGCTGGAACCCACAGTCCCGAGTTCTCCATGGGGGAGCATCAAGGCTCCACAAAATGGGGACTGGCCTCCAATTAGCGAGTGGGAGGCTGGGGCTGTGCTGAGAATACTCTTCTGTCTCACTTGGAATCTTTCAATGGGACAGTTGGACTCGGGGGAGCCCCGGCTTTTCCTGCGAGTGCCGGAGGAAACGCGGGAGAGGGAGGGGACCAAACCCTAAACACCCCCAGTCTTCAGCAGCTTCTGCTTCCAGTTGGAAACTGTGGGATTTAAAATTTTTTTTTAGGATAACTGAGATTAAAAAGTCTGTGATTTTAGCAGATCTTTAGATTCTGTGCATCCAAAGCGTCTGTAGCAAATCTGACGTAGCTCAGAGTAGTGATGAGACTTAGTGATGATGCTTTTGGCTGCTGAGCAGAGTCCTGGGAGTGTTTGCACCACAGTGAAATGATTTTAGGCAAATATATCCTCTGCTAGTGCAGCTGTGGGATATAAAACAGCACAGGGATGATTTTTCCAGGGCCACCGTATCTTCTCTGCTGCCTGTTTTTATAGCACTGTCACTGCCTGGCTGCCAGTGCAAAGTAATT